GTAAATACCGAAAATGAATAATTTTAGTAAAAAAAAAAGCAGGAAGTGGACATCCTATAAGGTAGAATACAACATTATCACAAAGTATTTGACTGAAAAACTCTATGTAACAGTAAACAAGTTGTTTTTTTTTTTTACCCCCAAAAATACTTATCCTGTCACTGTCCTTCCTTCTCTATGTTGGTGTTTGATGTGCATTTGTTTCTGTAACTTTTTCAGGGTCCAACCCAGTGGCATGTGCAAATCATCATGGAGAAGCTGCTGAGGACAGTTAACAGGACAGTCATTTCCATGGGCCGTGATTCCCCTCACATCGTAAGTCTCGGAGTCTCTGTAATTATTGGCTGTAGACCCACAACTACCTTTCTTTCCATCTGTTTTTACCCCCCTGACTCGCACTCCATTTTAGAGGCTGGTGTACCACGATCAGCTTAACTCCCACAGGCCCGCTGCAACACTTTCATTCCAAAGTTGTTATTCAAAGTAAGGTCTACCTTAGCATAATGCTTTCACAAAACCTCCGTCTACAAGTGGCTTTGATCTGCTCCTATCTTTCTCAAGACAGTTGTTTGTGTGTCGGTGTGCGTTAAACTTGTGCAGTTTCCTGATTTCTTTTTTTGTGTATGTGTTTGCCTGTTTGGTGAGTCTGATCCCTATTGTATCAGAACATTTCTGATTTTCTTTGCTGTAATTTAATCACTGTCTACTGCTACTATTCTCTCAGCTAACAGTTCAGTAGCAATTAAGACACTTATCTGTCATCATATAAGTATGCCCTGTGACTGATATGCGAGGCAAAGCCTTCATTCATTTTCACGGGTCCAAAGAATCCAGGGAATGCGATCTTCTACATTCTTTGCCTTTCTAAAGCATCCTGATGATGTTTGCATTCAGTAGAGTTGCACACAGCTTGTGATGTGACTTTGAAATTGAGACTCGGGTAACCAGCTGATGTATCTTTGCCTAAGTTTTTATGATCATGGAGATTCCTCTGAGGGCACTTGCAGGTACTTTTACAGCCCACTAAAATACAGCTAAGATAGACATTTTCTCTGGACTTCAAGTAAGTATAGGGAATGGGTGGGGGAGGTAGAAGATACTGTTACTGGTTGGCGAAGCATCTTTTCTCCTCCCGTGTCAGGTTATTTATCATGTTTGTGTGTGCTCAGACACACAGCCGCCTCTTCATCTGGGGAGCAGCATCATCTGTTTAAATGGAAGCTTATCTTCTTTTATTACCAGTCACCGAGCCACACAAGTCGAGTGTGATTTAATCAAGCCAACAGTACCCAGCTTTATAACACACAAATCATCCTGTATGTTTGTGTGTGTGCTTGTTATGTCATAGCGCTATAATACGTCAGCAGCACTCGTCCTTTGTCCCCTGTGTCTTCTTTTTCATTCTACTCTTAATTTCTTTCTGCTGCAGTAAAGTGAGTTTGCATTGCAGCGATTCTGTTGCTGCTTTCTCTCCCTGTGTCTAAAGGTATTTCAGCAATGCACCAAGCTAATAGTGTAGATGTAGAGCTCTGCTGTGTAACTGATCGCTAACATAATGTAAAACCTAAGAAGCTGTGAGTTGATCTGGGACCATTCAGCTGCCCCTTTACTCCCAACCAGCTGGATGGAGGTGGTCTAGGGCCTCCACCTTAACCTGTCCATGTCTATAGGTCTCCTATCCATTGTTATGGTGGGGATACAAACTCTGCATTGTCCTGCCTGGCTTATGGTCACAGAGTTTGGAAAGTCTGATTTGGATAGAGGTTGTACACTAATAGGTGCAATGTTAGACACTGGACCAGCTGCCTTTGCGGCTCACCTTCTGCTCACTGCAGTGGGGTTCTTCTGATCATGTATTTCAAATATGAAATGCTACCACTTTGTCTAAAAGGCTATTATGAAGGCAGCACACGCAGGTCTCCTCTCGACTGTAATATACTAAGTGCATACATTTCACTGCCATCCCTGTGGTGTGGGTGAAATGGTGTTCTCTGCTTCCAGCAGTGGCTGCTGAATGGCGCTAAAACAGACATATACACAGCTTGATTTTATTGCTCTTACTGACCCATGCCTTTTGTCGGCCGCCTTATGCAGTGGGACTTAGAGGTCACATCAAAGCCATTTCTTTGAAAGCACTATGGCTCTTTTACTCAAACACTATACATTATGTAATACTCGGGACATACGCTGCATTTAAATAAGTTCCTGAAATCATTATTTAATGATCAGTAAGGTTGGTGTAATTTTTTATTTTTTATTTTTTAGCAGCTATGAAATCCAGTTGGGGCTGCTAGAAGTGTCCTAGCTTTCTAATCAGAAGGCTGTTGTTGCCACCTCTGGGTACTGCTGTCTACTCTGCAGGCAGATTGTGTGCTGCTGCTCACGCAGTACCGCAGCCAACCACCGACCTTGTTCTTCAGAGTGGCAGCCTCTTTCATTTAGATTTATGCATTAACGTTCTACCCTGCCTCCTGCCTCGCTTTCTCTCTCTTTCTCCGTTCTCCTCTCTCCTGGAGGTGGCCACAGAATGTTGATGAGAGTAATCACAGTGAAGGCCTGGGGGCGTTGGTCTTGTTGTGTGTTGTCACTGCAGTGTTACATCTGGTAGCAACTTAAGTACAGCATCATTGTACATTTGCAGCGCTAAACATCCCAGCAGGCTGTATATTCATGTTCACCCTCACACAGGTTGAGATGGGTTCTCGTGATATTTACTTTAGGATAGTAACACAAACATTTTCACTGTCCCTGCTGAAATTACCAGGTCTACCTTTTATACCTTTGAATTACATTTTCTTTAGTTTAAGCTTGTGAAAGAGCCCTGCAGCGCAACATGGATTGGAAACTGCAGCAGGGAAATCAGTGTTAGTTTGATGTCAGCGTTTGTTTTGTACTTTTAAAACACCAACAAAACCACTTTTGCATAGTTACTTGTGCATTGTGAACAGCTAAATGTCAAAACTGATATTGCATACCCAACACACCTGAGGAGAAATTGGAAGCATTGCTAGACACTTGGCTCTACCTTAATGCTGTCCACATGACCCACTGAACTTTTCTGTGCTGTAGTTATAAGGAGTAACTGACAAGAGGGTTGAGGTGATAGTTGGCTGTAGTGCTTTACGGTTATCCTCTCAACAAGTAGGCTGCTGGCCAGCTGCAGGGGCTAGAGCTTTTTCTTTGCTGCATGCACTCACTGATGGAATACACTATAAGGCAACACAGCCATCTCGGTGATATCCGATCAGACCGGCATTCTCGCCTGTATCTTTGGCTCTTTGTATCACTCCCTTTATCTTTCTGTGTGTGAAACTGTTTCTGTTTAAATATTTCTCTCAGCATCTTCTTGCTTCTCTCTTTCTCCCTCTCTCTCTCCTGATCGCCCAACTGCTGCAGAGCTCTAACAAAAAAAAAAAAGAAAGCTTAGTGAGATATGGCACTGCATCATAATGCCTCAGATGTGTACTTATCACTCACTCACTGCACCTCTTCTCTCCTCTCCTGTGCTAAAACTTTGGCTGAGTGTCCATTCAGGTTTACTGACTCTGACATGTGCTCACTGTCAACACTGTCATTGCTTTCAAATCACAGAGGACTGTGGTGAAAGGGTGTAAGTATGTGAGATGTGAGGCTGCACTGGGCACCCTGTTTATATACTGGTAGTGTGCTGTAAACATCCACCAAAGGGAAGCCCCTGTGCTCCTGGTCTGGGTGAGAAGAGGGGCTCAGTATTGCCCATGAGCATCACTGGCTTCATGCATCTGTGTGAGCATGACTTTGCATCTCTCAGGCATTTAATCAGCGTTTTGTCCCCAGTGGTACTTCTTGGTTTTGCGTCACTGCTGGTGTGTGTCAACTCAGGCCTTACGCATTACGGTTATGCACACTGATCCACGGACATGCCTGAAAGGCCTTTAGACAACATTTAAGTAAAGATGGTAAAGGCAAGGATTTTGGCTGCTCAAGTATGTTCAATTTTTTGAAAAGCAAGGTACCTTTCTAGAAATAGTGAAGATTCACACATCACACAAACCTGAGAATTGAATCAAACTCTCAGCCCATGACTTGATACCCTAATCTGGGTAAACCAACCATGTAACTTGTGTGTCTGATGATGAAAATAACATCCTGTGCTCTGTAAATGACACTCAGTTTTTTCATACTAGAGCTCTGGAGATGTCTATTTTTATTTTTCATATTGTGCATATTAAATCTTTTTCTTTAAGAAACAGTATAAAATACACAGTATTGCACATAATAAATCAATTGCACTTCTTTAAAGTACAGATAAACATCTAGTTCTCTCTCAATGCTACAGTAATAACTACTGAAAGAAACCAACCCAGCATGTACAAGAGTGGAGTTGTGAATCACATGGAGCCAACAGAAAGCAACATGTTGCAGCTTTTGAAGGTTAGATCAGCGATGCCTAGTAGCTTGGTAGGTATTGTTGTAGAGTAGATCAAGATATTTCTTTTATGCCCTTGAAACCACTTTGGCACGTTTCCTGTCTTTTGGGGCAGTGTTTTTGGCTTTGAGAGTGACTTCGGTTTTACAGTGCTGCTGGCTCTGTTACTTTAATGCTGCTTAGTTTTAGATGTTGGCAACTTTCCCACTCATTAAAATGGTATTAGCCCTGTTTTATGCTAAACAATGTATATTCATCTATGGTAAATGCAAATGTTATTTTGGCTTTACATTGTCTTTGAACCCTGTATGGCATTACTACTGACTTTTCGCTTTATAGTCAAAAACATGGGACGATAACCCTAATTTAAAAAAGGAAAAGAAAAGAAAAAATGTTGGCATTTTCTTTAAAATTTGTTTCCTGAAAAACTAGAAAATATTTTGCAAAATCCCAAGGTTGTAAAAAGCATGCAAGGCTACACGCCTGCCACCCTGCACTGAAGAAGCCCTGGTTGTGGTCGTAAGCAGTACATTTCATTCTTCTGGCTTGGTTCCAGTAGCTGTCGTAGTACTGATTCCCTCTTTTTTTTTTGTTTTGTTATTGGGCTTCAGTGACCATCTGCATTGTGAGGTTAGTAAAAACTAAGTTGGATGTCTGAAATGGAATTCAATATCAGAAATTATTTACCTTCTGTCTGCTGCAGTTTTTGATATGCAAAGCCCCCTTCACTGCAGCTCAAATATAGTCCGCTAAACCTTGAAGTGAATGTATATAGATATATTTTTATATAGAAAAAAGTACATTGAGTTCTAACTTTGTGGATGTTATTAGGAAAATAAGTGTTATTTATTCATTCTTTACTTCAAAGTCAGTCGATTTGAAGGAGACATGTTGGCGATGGATAGAAAGTTGATCATAGACCTCCAATAAACATCTGTCCCTTCTTTGTCCTGTAGGTCTCTTCTTTTATGAATGTCATAATTACTAGGTAATCTTCACTGAGTTAATACTCAAAATATTCATTTATTCTGGAGAAAATGTATCCTGAACAGTGTTCATTGTGCTTTGCAGTACGATGATATGCTGTTGATGTAGACCTCAGAGCATTGTTGTTGTTGACTTGCCAGCCTCTCCTGGAGGCTGGGAAGACAAAGTCCCAACAGGTGAATAGAAATGTTATGTTCGCTGAACCACTATATAATAAGACCCAGTAGATGTCAGCTTAAAAAAATATATGCAAATTGACAGAAGGAAATCAAATTAGTCTTCTCACCTTGCTGATCTCCAGATATGTTGTCCTGGTGCAATTTCACACTCTGTTTGATGAAATTAGTTCAAAATAACTCTGAATCCATTTTTGGTAAGCATGAGATTTAGAAATCTTCATGGAATCCACACTCGTGGCCCCTTACACATCCTGTCATTTCTAAGAGGTTTAGTATCCAGTGGTGGAGCTCTCCATTAATACTGGCTACCAAGTTTACAAAAAGCCAAGGAGATGGTGATAAAACAGAAGATGGATAAACCAAAAAATATCGATGACCAGATGGGTACGTAAATCCTAGCGGCAGAGGAGGTGGTCCTGTGTTTTCACAGGAACCAAAGTTTCCAGCGAGCATGCTTCTTGGTTTCAGCTTTGGACTTGCGTTTTGGGGTGGACGTGAAGGCCTCCTGGGGGTAAGGCAGGCAGGCAAAATGGGCATCCTCTGTGGGGCAAAGCCTCTTCATCAGCGGCTGCAGCTTGTCCTCCTGCTGCTTGAAGTCCAGCTCAACACTACCTCAGAGAAACAGACACACAATCAGCTCAAACACTAGATACGTTCTTGACACCAATGTGCCATTACAGTACATGCTAAATATTATCATATAGTTATTTTATTTAAATGGATTTAACAGTAGCCTTCTTTGAACAGGCTGCAAATGTAGCAATTATTTGACTACTGGCTTATATGTGATAGATTTGATTGTGTATCAACACTAAAACCACTCATTCTTCTTTCTCCATCATGCTAATTTTAATTTCAGTGTGTTTTGACTGTCACATTGACACTATAGGCATATTTTGTGACCTGTTCTCACTTGACCCCCATACAGCACTGCTCAGCTTGGCAAAGCAACCTACGCTTGTCACTTTCTTCATCTTTAGTTCCCAGTAAAATGTCTCAACACACACTGTTTTTGATTGCATCTGGCTCTCCGCTTTAGAGGCTGGCGCTGCTGTTTCCGTCATTTTTGTTATTTGCATTCTTATTGTGATGCTTAAAGCTCAAGGGAAGCCCATTAGTATTTTCCCCAGTGAGGAGTGCTGGGTCACTGGGAAGTGAACTTAAGATCATTTGCTTTGCTAAAACAGATCAGAGCCTGAGTATTGATGTGAGTCTTTTAGGATATTGTCTTATATCCTATTGCTTTTACAACAGCAAAAGGCAGTGGATTTGCCAAACAATTTAATTTGATTTGTGGAATTTCCTGCACACGCACACACAAACCGTGTTCTCCATATTTCCACAGGGTGCTATGGGATTTATCTGGACCATGCATCGTTGTAATCCCACACACGTCTGATTACTAGGTTCTACTAAATGAAACTCGGATTACAGTTTCAGCTGCAGTAGTACAGAAGGACTTTAATCTGCTAAAGCTTTCTCCAGCCTCTAGTCTGAGTTGGACACCAGGGGACTCTGATGGAAAGACTTACATAATAGCAACGGGATCCACTTCATGAATACTGCAGTCTGTTTGCTTAGAGGCTGTCATTTACCACTGTGAAAGATTATACAGTGTCAAGGTGAGTTAGGCAGTAAGCTGCCTGCTCTGTTTGAAATACAAGGCATCTGCAACAGTCGTGCTGTTGCAATCCTAAGTCATCTTTATGGAGGTTTTAGAAGAGTGACTAGGTCTCTTTTTTATTTATTTATTTTTTAAATCAATCAGCTTTACTGGCCAGGTGTGTCAGACACACAAGGAATCCAACTCCAGTACAGTGTGTATGTTCAGATCTACATGAAATACAATTTCATCAACTACTGGATGCTGGTAATGATTGGTATTCCAGGTGAGCTGTATGTACAGATGATTGTGAACCAAGCACATTTGTGTGAACCTGACATGGAGCTCAGCTTCAGAAAAAAACTTGCAGTGCTCCTCAAATCTTTTTCTCTTTGGCTCAGTATTACTTTTTAAATCACCAAAATGTAATTTTTGCTTTGAAGATTCAGAAAAGTAGAGTACACCAATTAATGCCCTTATGCCAATTGACCCACTGCATCTCTGTTGCTTAAACTGTCTTATGGCATACAACTCGTCCAAAATTCAGCAGCCAGGCTTTTAGCAGGTGCCATGAAATAAGACCATTCCTCATTTTAAGCCAGCACTGGTCTACAATTGAATCTTCAAATTTCACATAACATAAATGAATTGCCTCCAGAGTACACTGGAGGCCTTCATCCCGTGTCTTAACCCCCGAAAGTGCCCTTAAGCCTGCGGATAAGATTCTCTCACTTCCAAAACCCCACCTAACTTTGAAGCATGATTGAGCTGTTGCAGATTGCCTGAATTTATTTTAAATTCCTTTGCAAAAGCATTCGCTATATATACATGTATATGCATTTACCTGAGCTTTTATTATTTATTCTGACTGATTTTGTCTTAAATTTACTGGATTCTTTTTATTAATCTCCTCTTATTATATTGTAATATTCCATAAAAAAGCTTTGACACCAGTTTACAATAATGCTTTCCCTTTAGTCGGGCCCAAGGGAACTGAGCTACATGTGGGAATGCAGCGCTCAGGCTCATGAAATATATATATATATGTCTTCTGAAGTCAATCTCACATTTTAACCAAAATTCATGGGCTACAAAATTAAGTCCCTTCAGCTCAGATAACTATAGTTAGGCAGCATCAAAGAATTCTGTGATCAACAGCCATGCGTTTGTCAGAGTGTAATGAGTGGTGTGTGCCGAGTATTTCATTGTGCCTTTTTTGTCTTCTAAGAACCTTTAATTAATTCAAAGTAAAGTCAGAGAGAGAGATCTTTACCATGTTTTGGGTATCATTTGGAAGTACTGTAACGTAATACTGTAACAAAAGCGTGCTCACACACAGTGATAGTATTTTAGCTGCTCTACAGCCTTTGATGCTGCTGAGACTTGCTGTTTCTCATGGCTACAGGTTAATGTCTTGGATAGAGACCCAGATATTTAATTATATATGTGTGTGTGTGTGTGTGTGTGTGTGTGTGTATATATATATATACAGTATATCACAGAAGTGAGTACACCCCCTCACATTTTGTAAATATTTAAGTATATATCTTCATGTGACAACACTGAAGAAATGACACTTGGCTACAATGTAAAGTAGTGAGTCTACAGCTTGTATAACAGTGTAAATGTGCTGTCCCTTCAAAATAATGCAACAGACAGCCATTAATGTCTAAACCTGTGGCCCAGTCTCCGAAGGGAGGGGATCATGCTCTGCTTCAGTATGTCACAGTACATGTTGGCATTCATGGTTCCCTCAATGAACTGTAGCTCCCCAGTGCCGGCAGCACTCATGCAGCCCCAGACCATGACATTCCCAGCACCATACTTGACTGTAGGCAAGACACACTTGTCTTTGTACTCATCACCTGGTTGCCGCCACACACACTTGACACCATCTGAACCAAATAAGTTTATCTCAGTCTCATATGACGCTGAGCCTGGGCACTCAACTTCTTTGGTTGACCATTGCGAGGCCTGTTCTGACTGGAACCTGTCCTGTTAAACCACTGTATGGTCTTGGCCACTGTGCTGCAGCTCAGTTCTTGGCAATCTTCTTGTAGCCTAGGCCATCTTTATGTAGAGCAACAATTCATTTTTTGGTGCCATGTTGAACTTCCAGTGACCAGTATGAGAGAATGAGAGCGATAACACCAAATTTAACACACCTGCTCCCCCTTCACACCTGAGACCTTGTACCACTAACGAGTCTCATGACACCAGGGAGGGAAAATGGCTACTTGGGCCCCATATGGCCATTATCACTTAGGGGTGTATTCACTTTTGTTGCCAGCAGTTTAGACATTAATGGCTGTGTGTTGCATTATACAAGCTGTATACTCACTCCTTTACCTTGTAGCCAAGTGTCATTTCTTCAGTGTTGTCACATGAAAAGATATACTTAAATATTTACAAAGTGTGAGGGGGTGTACTCATTTCTGTGATGTACTGTATATATGGACAAAAGACAAGGAATGTCTATCTCTCTAGATTAATCAAATTCAACATTACTCAACTTGACCAGTGACAGTGCGGTTGGACATTTAGGTGTATTGTGCTAATAGCACCTCAAGCATCTAGTCTCAACTAGAGATGAAGAGGGGGGATTAAGAGGTCTGGCGAGCTTGCTTCTAATTCCACACCAAGATTTTTTTAATTTTTGAGCTTCTTGAATCTTCAGCCTCAGTCAGTGCAAAAAGTTAATTATTTCCCATGGCAACTTTTCACATATGCAGTAAGACTCGAGTCCGAGTGGTCTGTCCTTTACCGACGAGTCCCAACCGCAAATGCCAATTAAACATGTCAAATTGGCAGAAAAGCTGGCATCAGGGACCGGTTAGTACTGTTGTACCCGGTACTTTTTACCATACTGACTCTGAGAGATGAGACAGTCCAAGTAACTTCTAAACAGTGCTGATTTATTCCATGAACACAGGCAAAAATTAACATTACACGCTCAGGCATCTTGCACCTCCATCCTGCACGCAGGCAGATGTAAGATGAAAGACCCTGAACCCACCAGGCCTATACATTATATCCCCTCGGTTGGGCTAGCCCCATACTACACAGAAAACGTCAACCGAGACGTCTCTGTTGCCAGCTTTGCAGCTGGTCATAGCAGTAGTCAAAACATGAAGCAAATCAATGTGTGTGTGTGTGTGTCTGTTGATTAAGTGGTGTGTAACTAAAAACATTCTCATGACCTCTAGTAACATGTCGTGATATTAAACATAAGAACATATTATGGCTAAGGCTACAGTTCTACACGTCATAATAATAATATTAAACATCCTGTCTGCTGACAGTCATCAACTCTTCTCTCTAGTTATCCTTGACCAGATGTACCCTGTAGAAACTCATAAGCATGACTAAGCATTTAACAGTCTAACTAGACATCCTATCTCCACTAAACATTTCTAATACATAAGGTATCTATCTAATTTCTATCTGACTAAAAATACCTAACAGTACCAACGGTGCAGGACACGCCAGGAGGATGGGCCCTGACAGATGCTCACTGACAGCCGACTGTTGGCTTGGTGTGTTTTTGCCCCTAAACACACTTTCTTATCAGTGCACATATTTGAACAATGTATGGATTTGTGATCAGGTACCAGTCTGATCAGGACTGTCGTCCTAGTAGCTGTTTATTGCATCTTATCTTGTGTAGCATTTAGTGAAGCTGAATCTATTCCTTAATTAAATTTTCTGCCTTTATATAAAAAAAAGCTGCTAGAAGTAAAGTTGCCTGTAGCTTGGGAACAGCAAAGTAAGGAAACTTAAATGTCACTTGAAAAGGAAAAAATATCTCCATAGCTTTGTTTAAAAAAGGCAAAGTGAAACGATAATCATCTTATCTCTGAAACCTACTGAAAAGGCCTTTTAATAAAAGACTTATTAATCTCTAGCCAGCCCAGTTATCCACATCTCCTTATGAGACTGTCACAGACCCTTCCGAATCACTTCACATTCAGATTTTTCTGGTTGAAAGTAAAAAGCGAAGCATTGTTGGTGTTCTCCTGTCCACTGGCTGCCACTCCCCTGAGTGGGTTGTTGGCTTAGAACAAAGTGAAGAAGGCACTTTGGACCTTGTCAGTCTTTAACCTCTCTCACCCACTTGTTCTGACTTTTGATTTTGTTTCTCTCCCACTCACTCCCACTCTTTTTGTGTTATTTTCCTGCTCTCCAAAAAGTCTGTGTAAAAGGAAAAAGAAACGTGTGCATTCTCTGTACCATATATAACCCCTCACTTCAGCTCATTCATTATCATACACACTTCTCACCTGCCCTTTACCCCACTTCAGACATCAGTGAATCTTTATCTCTCATTGTCTCCTTCCTCCTCTTGCTGTCGCCCTGTTTCGCATTCTTGTCCCGACTTCCTTTTGTTCCCTTATCTTCCCTGGGTGTGAATGTGCTTTCCTGACTGTCCTCTCTGTCCCTTTGCACTGTCTGTCCTATCAAGGATCACTTTTGTAGCTATGGTAACCAGCTTGCCACCATGTTGGAAAACATCATTATGCTTGCACAAAAAAAGAGATATCTTCCCTCAGCAGAGTCGAGCGGCAGGACAGCCATGGTGCTCAATTTCCATATGTTTATAATGTAATCAACTCGTCAGCCTTTAGCAACGCTTAATTGATTTTCATATCCTTGCACAGTAGATTGGTGAGTTTTTTGACTTTTTAAATACCCATTCATTTTATTTTTCACTGTTTGTACAGTATCGTGTTATTCATAGAATGTTTTGCCACCAAATAGTCCATCCATTCATTATCTATTCCATTCATTATCTATACCACATATCCTGAAAAGGGTCAGTGCATCACAGGTTTGACACTTGGAGACAGACACCCACACACACTCCTACAGGCAATTTAGAGTCACCAGTCAACCTAAGCCGCATGTCTTCAGACTGTGGGAGGAAGACAGAGGACCCAGAGAGAACCCACACAGGGAGAACATGCAAACTCCACATAGAAAGGCACCGGGTTGGTCGGGGATAGCTGCAGGTGCCTCTGTCCGAATGAATTGCAGGACATGCAAGCAAATGACAAAATTGAACTGATTGGAAATAACTGCAGGGCATTCTGAACAATGGTAGCTATTGGTTGGGGACCTCTGCAGTCGACTTCTTTAATCATAACCACTTAAATCTATTTCCCTCTTTGATTAGCACATTAGCCCGTGTAAATGCAATGTGAGGAAAATGAGATCACAGGGTTTCTGCAGCAAGACGCATCACGACTTAATGCCTGTGGTCTTGAAATAAGTAGAATGCATTTCAAATCTCCAGGTTTTCTGCACCATCCTGTCTCTTATTTTCTTTTTGTGTGTTTAGCTCTCATGCCTCCCCTCTGCATTTTGTCATTCCTCTCCTTTCCCCACCTTTCTCACTAACAGATGTTACATCACCTGGTAAGATGGAATGAATTGCAGTAATCTTTTCATCCCTTTCTCTTCTGTTCTGTTTCAATGTCAAGCACATTGTATTAAGCATCAAATCCCCAGATTTATTTGAAAACACACAGAAGAAGATAACATATTCTGGAGGAAGTGAGATTGAGAGAGAATGTTACCAAGTGAGAATGAAAGAAAGACAGTTTATGGTGGTTTCAAATGAAGCAAGTAGGACCAGACAAGGACAAGAGACTATAGCAGCTTGTGAATTCTGTTTGAAGTTTATGTCCATAGACTACAGCACTGTATTGATCCGGTGCTGTTGTTATGCTAAGGATGGCATCTGAGATGATGCCATATGCTCTTGGACAAATTGATTATGCTGAAGAATGCATGGCTGGCTCCTTACCGAACAGTGTTAAAATGATTTATAGAACCATATGTCTGCTCCGGTCATGAGACCAGCTTCATCATAAACATGAGTTGGGGTTTGGCTCTGGCTCAAAGAAATGAACATACTCGCAAAAAATCCTAATGAATATTGTAGGTAGCTGTTCTTCCCACATACACTGTTTCTTCCTCCCTGTGTGCTCTGCTTTCCATCCTGGGTTCCTCCACCTCCAGTGAGGTTGTTTTCATGGAGATCTAAATAATTAGATTGCCTTTTAATCCTCCTGCCTGTGTGAATACAACTGCTATATTCGATTCTGTGTCCAATCAGCGCCATTTAGCATGCCAAGTGAATCTCTTTAAAGGAAAACTCGGGTCAGTTTAACAGATTTCAAGCCATCTTCAACCACATAGAAATATATGCCCTTTATCAAGTTGAAACCCTGCCAGGCGCTGGCAAGGTTTTTCAAAAATGAACCGTCTATTTTGTATTGAACTTTTCTGCACTTCCTCCACAGATGAAGCGTCTCAATTGATTGCGGCATATCTGAGAAGCCAAATGTGGCGTTGTGATGTTAATATAGCACCTGCCATTGTGTGTTCACACTTGGCACCGAGCTAGTTAGTGGACCTATCTGACCTCACTTTGTCTGTGGCACTATATAATATTCACACTGTTTCTCTTGGAGGATTTTCAAGTTTTTGAGACAGATATGTTGGACAACCCAGTGACACACATGTATAATAATTGGCTCACAGTCAATCAGCCACACTTAATCATAGCTTTTACTGTAGCCTGCATTTTGCATATTTTAAACTCTCATTGGTCAGGGAGAAATATTGTACAGTGTAAATGAAACATCTCTCCCAACACATTAGTGATCAGTATAGGTATACTAATAGCTGCAGAGAATATCTTGACAAAAGGTTGCTCATGTGTATGTATATATATATATATGTGTGTATATA